TACCCCCCCCCCCATATGTGCACCATCCACTCACCATTTCTCTGTAGTTGGGGTAGAAGGTCTGCTCGATGAGCGGGAAGTTCTCCTTGCCGAGCCGCCGCTGAAGCTGCAGCAGGTGGCCGAACACCCACGGCTTGTCCTGCGGACAGGGGAGAGTACGGGCGCATCGTGAGCGGTGAGATCTACTCGGCGGTGGCAGCGCGAGGGAGCGCACGCAGGGTGACCGCGAGTCACGCGTGCGAGACGCACAGCAGGCGGCACGCGAGGCGGCGCGCGCCGGGGCCGCAGGCAGCCCACCGCACGCCGCAGCGCGCTGGGCCTCGGCACGAGGCGCACACCCACCTGGAAGTTGTACACGGCCGTGAGCGAGTTGACGGAAGGGATGCCGCCAAACTTCAATCCCAGCAGAACGTTGACAAAGCTCTCGCCGGCGTCGCGCAGATTCTGACGGATGAGGAGGAAGTCGGGTCGGAACGACCTGCAAGAAGGGAGGGAAATAGAGGGTATCAGTTCCAGATGCGTTTACATAGTGAAACAACAAAAAAAAAAAAAAAAATGCGGAAAGAGATCCGATCTTACCTCATGACCTTGGTGCCGTTCCTGTACACGGCCATGCTGACGTGGCAGCCCGTCTCCACATTGGACGTCAGCGACAGCTCCCGGAACTCGGCCTGCTCCACCCGTATGTCCCAGTCGCCGTGGAGACGCCGTCCCCGGAAGTACTTGGACCTGGAACACGCATCCGTGGTAAGGGAAGGGTAGATAACCTCGCAGTAACCTAGGTTACGCCCGTCGTCGGGCGAGCCGGCGGGGTCGCAGTGTACCTGCGCCGTGCCAGTGCTCCCGCCACGCCCTACGAGGCGTGAGGGGGCTGCCAGCGACACGTCCGTGGGCCGGAAGGACCAATAAGGAGCCAACCACTTCCCCTCCCCTCTCTCGCCGCCGGTCTCGCCCCCTTTGGCCGTTTCATCGCCCGCTTTTTCAGCCTGTGCCAACCCCCGCACTCCGCACGTCACCCACCCCGCCACGTCGTCTGCTGCTCCCGTCGTGTTTCACAGCAGGCGGGTTTTATCACCCCCAACCTCAACCCCTCCTCTCTCTCCCCTATGGCCGTCCCCGACCCCCTGCCGCCGCCGCCGACCCCGGCGCCGCCAGGCCAGGCCGGGCATGGCATCGCCGGAACATAACGCGTGGACCAAACTCGCAAATCCCCCGCGGAGTCCGCCCCCGTCCGCCCCCGTCCGCCCCACTCCACCCGTCAGGCCAGTCTGGGACTCGTCCGGGACCCGTCGCGGCTGCAAACTTTACTCCGCATACGGTCGAGAAGCATAATCACTTTCCGAAACCACGAGCCCCGCAATCACGTTCATGAGGCCCAGGCCCGGCCCAGCGTTGCCCCCTCCCCCCAACCATTTCGCGGCCCAAGGTAGGCCTAGCAACCCCCCCGGCCCGCACGCAGCTGCCGCCTCCGACTCCCCGAGGGGGCATGCCACCCCCTCTATGACCGAGGAAGAGGGGTAATGGCATTAGCCGGGGCGTCTTGGCAAAGAGGAGGAGGATCGGCAGCAGAGCGGGTGGGGAGGGGAGGGACGCCGTCGGGACAAGCTGCCCCCTCTGCTCAGTTAGGACCCGCAGCCCGCAGCTAACGCCCCGCCCAGCAGAGCCTCGCCCCGCCACGGCCCGAGAATGACCGCGGCGGCGATAGAGCGGCGGGAGGGGGGCACCGCGACCTGGCGGCAGCGGCGGGTCGGGCCGGGCCAAAGCGGTCGCAAATCTATTTAGCTTCTGGTCGGGAAGTGGCAAGTTCCGTCTCCGGCCGCCTGCCGCCGTCTCCTCCCCCTTGCCCTGCCCCTCCTATACCTCCCCGTGACGCTGACGGCGGCGGCTCTCGTCCAGGCCACTTCGCCTCCTTCGGCACCGCCATCGCCGTCCCGCCTCGCTCACCCCCCACCGCCCCAGTGCCATCCGTCGGTAGAGATCTCCACCGGGATGACAGGCGCGGTGCTAACTTTTATGACCGGATCGCTGCGCCTACTTCCCCCTCCCCCCAGCCACCCCTACTCCACGACGCGGCCGCGAGGCCCGCCTGCGGTCCGGGGGGTGGGGGTGGGGGAGACAGACAGCAGCGAGGTCGGCGCAGAATCCGACGGGGAACGGACGGCGAGGCGCCGCTAGAGGATGCATCGAATGGCATCATTGGCGTCTCCTTCCCCGATCCTTCCCCCTTTCTCTCTAGCCCACTCTTGTCGCCCCTCTCCTCCCCCACCGGCCCCGCGGGATATGGAGAGAGAGGCGTGCGTGCAACAGTCCTCACGGCTCAATCCTACCCCCTATCCCCCCTTCTCCCCCCC